GAAAGTGCCGTTAGTACCTTATGACTGATTTTCACACTTAACAACCATTGCAGCTTTCCCATGGTTACGTGATCAATTCGACTCTTGGCCACTGGCAGGTATTTATGAGAGTTGTACTGTCGCAGGTTCGGGATTCGCTTAACAACCCCATGGTTCACTTAACATCCGCAGTGATTCACTTTACAACCGTGGCGAGAAAAGTTGTAAAAAGAAGCAAAAACTCACTTTAAAAATTGCCTTGGTTCTCGATCGAAATTTTGGGCTCCGTTGTGGTTGTGAGTCAAGGAACACCTACCTGTATTTGCCTTCCAGGCCCCCAAATTAAACCATCACCTTTCCTCTCTTGAACAGGTGCTGCTGATCAAACCCAGTTTCCAATAAAGCATCAATCACTTGAACAAATGGTATCCCTGTTGTTGACATAACACATAGGTGTATTTCCATAAATATCATTTAATGCTATGTGAATCAGAGTTGGGCAGCGAAAACCCTCTGGGAGATTTCAAGTGGATCAGCAAAGATTTCTATCACCCAGTTCTTTTAACAAAGGGAACCCAAGCATGAGTAAATTGTATTGCTAAAATGCCATATACCGTGTTTCCCCAAAAATAAGACCGAGTCGTATATTAATTTTTGCTCCAAAAGACACATTAGGGCTTATTTTCTGGTTAGGTCTTATGTTTGGGGAAATACAATACTATATGCATCCATCTGGCTGACAATCTTAACTGGGGCTTATTTTGGGAGTAGGGCTTATATTATGAGCATCCTGAAAAATTATGCCAGGGTTTATTTTCTGGTTGGGTCTTATTTTTGGGAAAACAGGATAGGTAAATTCTTATGACAGTGTTTCTCATCGTCACTTTTAAGATAAGTGGATTTCAACTCCCAGAATTCCCCAGCCAGCCCTAGAGAATGCTGGCAGTTGAAGTCCTCATGTTTACAGAGAACGAGGCTGAAAAACATTGGCAGAACAAATTTTTTATTGATTTTTCTTAACACCCCCCCCTTCCGCCAGTCAGTTCTGGCACAAATTTGTGAACTCGGGATACTTTACATCGATAGTCTTGGCTTCTGTAAAACACGGTGGATCTTGGATTCCTAGTCTATTTTGGCTGGAGCCCAGCTCCTGGAAACCTAGTAGACACATATCCATCCATCCATCCAATTTTCTCTAGAAGCGACTTGACATTTGGCTTTTTGGGGGACAACGAGGTTAGTAATGCCTTGGGTGGTTTCATTAGGGTGGAAAATGTGCCAGACTGTTGAGGGGAAGGAGGGAGAACAGGATTGCACACTAGCACCCCACAGTGACCTCTCAAAGGTCTCCACATGTACATTGGGCAGACTGAAAGGATGCTGCACAACAGTCATAGATTGGACCATTATATGTTACCGTGTTTCCCTGAAAATAAGACCCTGTCTTATATTTTTTGAACCCCGAAATAAGCACTTGGCCTTATTTTCGGGGAGGTCTTATTATTTTGGAGCACATGGAGCAAGATGGGGTTCTTCTTGCTGTTTTACCTGATTTCCAGCTCTGTCTCCCTAACCCAGAGGTCAGCAACCCACGGCTCTGGAGCCGCATGTGGCTCTTTCATCCCTCTGCTGCGGCTCCCTGTCGCCAGTCGGCTCCACAGTTGTTAGGGCTTTCATCATTTAGGACAAGTAGAGGAAAAAGGATGCCGTGCTAGGAGGAGACTCTATGGTGGGGGAACTGGACTTCCGGTTTGCTCTAGAATTGAACAGGGGGCTTCCGGTTAGGATCTTTGTGTTTAAAGTTGCCGACCCCTGCCCTAACCCTAACCAGAGGAAATGGCAGGGACTGGCTGTGCATGTGTTTAAATATTTTCAGGGAGGGTCTTATTTTTGGGTTGGCTTATTTTAGTGCATGAGCTCAAAATCCCGATTGGGCTTATTATCAGGGGATGTCTTATTTTCAGGGAAACAGAGTACGTAGTTCTTTTTTTTTTTCCAACTAATGCCTACAGGATGCATGGGATCACAACTCCTATTAACCTTGTCCAGGATGCCTAGGGGTGTGTATGTGTGTGTGGGAGAGGGGATTACATTTCAGCATGCCTTGAGGTTACCTGGTTGGGGAACACTTTCTGTCTTCCAGGCTGGCTGCATTCACATCACCCTGCCACTCAACTGGGTTAACTGCAAATCAAATGCCCTCAACTTTAGTACTGTATGTGCTCAGCTTGGTGAGGTCTGACCTTGGTCCGTATAGTGTTCGTTGCATTGTATGAACCCCAAACATGGCTTAATCCAGGTGAAAGGATACTCTTATTTCCCTCCATTTGAAGATGCTCAGCGATCAATTCCTACTTTAGGAATTTTAGGGTTTTAAGATTGTTTGTTTTGGCTCTTTTTGTGTTCCCTTCCCATTCCAAACATCATGGCTTGCAAGAGGGTAGTTAGGCTAGAGTGACCATAATTTCCTGGTGGGGAAAAAAAAAAAGGACGAGTCTGAAAAAAGGGCAAACCTGAAAGCACTCCATAAGGATAAAACATTTTAATTGTTTATATTTACAAAGGAAATCAAGAGCAAAGCCAAGAAAAACTTCATTGTTTCAGTTTTGTTGTACGCCGCCCAAAGTCACTTCCTTGTGAGATGGGCGGCTCTGTAAAATAGATAGATAGATAGATAGATAGATAGATAGATAGATAGATAGATAGATATAGACAGACAGACAGACAGACAGACAGACAGATAATTGATAGAAAGATGAGAGAATGAGAGATAAGAGACAGATAAATAAGAGAGATAGATAGACATGTATCTATCATAAGATGCTAGAAAAATTAGGGATAGATGATAGATAGATGATAGATAGATAGATAGATAGATAGATAGATAGATAGATAGATAGATGATAGATACCGTGTTTCCCTGAAAATAACACCCTATTTTATATATTTTTTGAACCCTGAAATAAGTGCTTGGCCTTATTTTCGGGGAGGTCTTATTATTTTGGGGTGCATGGAGCAAGGAGGGGATCCTCTTGCGGTCTTACCTGATTTCCAGTTCTGTCTACCTAATCATAACCAGAGGAAATGGCAGGGACCGGCTGCACATGTGTTTAAATATTTTCAGGAGGGCTTATTATCCGGGGAGGGCTTATTTTCGGTGAAACTAAGATAGATGATAGATAGATAGATAGATAGATAGATAGATAGATAGATAGATAGATAGATACATACATACATACATACATACATACATACATGCATACATACATACATACATACCAAGATACCTAGATAGATACATAAGATGATAGAAGAGAGAGAGAGAGATGATAGCTAAAGCTTGACAAAAACTCCTTCTAATAAAAATATCTAAAACCACACAGTAACTCATGTAAATGTATTTTAAAAAGACGGTCCCATCTCCATCTTTTTCACATGCAGAAGGAAGACTGTGCAGAAAGTGGTATCACGGGTACTGTAAAAATGAAACGACCAAAATAAAGGACAAAAGTTTTTGAAAATGACATCAATGCAAAGGGCAGTTAGCTGAAATTAAGGGCTGTCCGTTAGCGTAAGAGATGGATGGCCACTCTAGTGGTTAGTCCACTGGGTCTGGTTTTTCCGAGTCCAGCAGCCCGCCCAGGAGATTTTTCCCACGGTTTCTCTGCTGTCCGGTCCTGTTCTCTCCTCTCCTCTCCCCACACGCCCGGCTGGCTGCTCCGACTCTCTCTGGTCTGCCTTCCTTCCGTAGAAGCTCAAAGCTGTTCCCTCCCTCCCTCCCTTGGCAGAACCAACATTCGCAGCCTTGTTCTCTGGGCTTCTCTGTGTCTCCGGCTGGACATTCTTGATGCATTACTTAATTGTTGTCTGAAAAGGCCCTGCTGCTGTGAGGGGGAGCAGTCTCTCTGTGTGTGTGTGTGTGTTTGTGTTTGTGCAGGCATGTCTGCGGGAATCAAGGATAGTGAGGAATTACATATGTGGGCATCAGCAAAACTAGTAATTCTCATTTCCCTCCCTCCCTCCCTCTCTCTCTCTCTCTCTCTCTCTCTCCCCTCAAACTATGGGTTTTGGGTGTGCCTTGGAAGGAAAGGAATGGGGGGGGCTTTGGGGGGAGTTGGGGTCACTAACAACTCAGGAAGCCCTCATGGAAGGGGGAACGAGATGATTCAGTCCTAAGAAATGACTAGAGCAGAAAAAACAGAAACTATGAAAATCGTACCTGTCTTAGGTCAGATGATGTTTGACAGACCAGCTGGAAGCTTGGATGGCTTCACCCCTAAAGATGGCACCTGCATCCAAGCTGTGGGGTGTGTGTGTGTGTGTGTGAGTGTGTGTGGTCTTTGGCAGCTTCATTTGGTCATGCCATGCTCCTGAAAGCAAATGGAGGTTTTATAGGCAGCTTGCACAATGTTTGATTGGCGGTCTCGGGTACCCACAGTAAAGAGGCTTTGATGACCATGCTTTCTTCATAGTGTTGAGGAAATGGTTTGAGGGCGGTTTTGTTTTGTTTTTTTTACTTTCCGGTCCTTTGTTTTCCAACTTTGGCAACTTTAAGATGAGTGGACTTCAACTCCCAGAATTCTCCAGTCAGCTACGCTCTCTTTGCTCAACCTATGTATTTTGGGGGTGCCTTGGAAGGAAAAAAAATGGGGGAGGGCTTCTGGAGGAGTTGGGGTCATTCAGAGTTTAGGAAGCCCTTGTGCAGGAAGGGAACGAAATGAATCAGTCCTAAGAAATGACTGGAGAGGAAAAACGGAAATTGGCAAAAGAGAAACTAAAAAAAAAACAGAAACAGAAAAAGAGCTGGCTGGAGAATTCTGGGAGTTGTAATCCACCCGCCTTAAATTTGCCAAATTGAAAAGCACTGTTCTAGTCTAATCCACAGCAGGAGGCTTTCCTCATGGTCTCCCATCCAAGGACAACCCTTTGCTTGTCATTCCCTTCTAAAACAACACGTGTAACTTTAGATCATATTGGCAGCAGCTGAGTGAGATTTGAGCCAGCCAATGTCTGTCTTTCAGGTTCCAGTCGGACCATGTCAGAAGTGATGCTGTCACCTCGAAATGAACAGAAGGCTCCCCTGGTGGGGAAGGCAGAGGCTGAGCTGGGCCGCCGGACCCCCCCAGCCTTCCATCCAGCAGCCCCGTCTCTGCCAGCTGCAGCCGTGACACTGCCAGCCCCAAATGAACTCCCCAGTGCCAAGACCCCCACCACACCTGTCTCGGAAGCAAGTTCTGCGCTTCAGACTCACCAACTCAGCCCCCTGCCTGCTGTCCCACTTCCAGAAGCAGAGAGCCTGCCCCCTAAGAGTGATCGCCCCCCACCCATTGGAGCCCCAAGTTCGCCTCAAACGGAGGAGACGCGTGGCAGTGCCCGCCTGCCCCCCAAGAACGAGCAGCCTTCCCCTGCCCAAGGTTCACCCACTCCCAGGGCAAAACAAGGTAGGTTTTGTGGTAGGTGGAACCAACCTACAGAGGGGATTTGGGGGGTACCCGGGACACTGTTGCCCACAAATCATAAGGGCGATTTTTCCATTTTGTGCCAAAAAGCCAGAGCTGGGTTTCAGCAGGTTTTGACCAGTTCTGGAGAACCGGTAGCGGAAATTTTGAGTAGTTCGGAAAACCGGTAAATACCGCCTCTGACTGGCCCCGCCCCATCTATTTTCTGCCTCCCGAGTCCCAGCTGATTGGGAGGAAATGGGGATTTTGCAATAATCTTCCCCTGGAGTGGGATGGGAATGGAGATTTTACAGTATCCTTCCCCTGCCATGCCCACCAAGCCACGCCCACAAAACCGGTAGTAAATTTTTTTGAAACCTACTACTGCAAAAAGCCTATAAGTCCAGTCAGCCGAAAGTATAGATACTGTTTTCTCTAGAAGCAAAGAAGTTAATTTAGCCATCTCTGCAAGTCCCATCATCTCCGCAACCCATCTGACTTCCCCTTCATTCTCCTGATGCCTTTGGATTCTCCTTCTTCCAGATTCTCAGAAGGCCCAAGCAAGACACAGGATGGCCCGGGAGCGTCGTGAAGAACGAGCCAAGCATCTGGGTAAGAAGGAGGCCATTTAACATCTGTACCACAGACTTTGTGGAAGGGGTCATCTCATTGAGCCATGTCAGGCTTTGAAATCCAGATTTACAGTCTGGTTATTTCAGTTTGATTCGGCATGACTAGATTCCTATCTTGGCCAACCCTCCACACAAAGGATGAAGATGATGAGAGCTGCCATCCAATGCATTTAGATGACTTTTGGAGTCATCTCATTGAGCCATGTCAGGCCACCAAATCCAGATTTATGGTCTAGTTATTTTTTTTTTAACTTGATTTATATGCCGCCCTTCTCCGGAGACTCAGGGCGGCTTACAATGCGTTAAGCAATAGCCTTCATACTTTTGTATATTTTTACAAAGTCAGCTTATTGCCCCCAGAAACTGGGTCCTCAATTTACCTACCTTAGAAAGGATGGAAGGCTGAGTCAACCTTGAGCCTGGTGAGATTCGAACTTGCAGTAATTGCAGGCAGCTGGAGTTAAATTACAATGCATTAGTCTGCTGAGCTATCCAGGCTCCTATTTCACTTTTTTTTTCAACCTGGTGTTCTCTAAGTGATCTGACTAAGTTCCTATCTTGCTTAACCATCCATACAGAGGATGGGGATGATGGGAATTGTCATCCAATGACAATTAAGGAGACTCCAGATTCAGGAAAGTCTGCCCTTGTTCTTTTCAAGACTAAGCCTAACAGAGGGAAAAAAATCAAGACTAACATGCTTTTCTTTCTGTTGTACTCTTGGCCAAGACACTTAGTGTTTGTGATTGATTGTGAACAAAATGTCCTTTCATTCTTTTCCCCCAAAAGGAAAATGAAAGTGGGAAGGGAAAGCATCTCCAAATGACTAAATTTACACAGAATATATTAAGTCATGGAAAGGATTTTGGGATCTTTTTCTCCTGTGAATACCAAAATTTGAATTTATCATTTGATAAAAGTTTTCTTCCTTTCCCCTTTCCAAAAAAAAAAAAAAGAGAGATGAATTCTTGTGTTGTTGACAGTTAAACATAACAACAACCCATTGCTGCAAATCAAGTGTAACATTCTGTGCAGCAGCTGCCAAAAAAGCCAACACAGTTCTGGGCTGCATAAACAGAGGGATAGAATCAACATCACATGAAGTGTTAATACCACTTTATAAGGCCTTGGTAAGGCCACACTTGGAATACTGCATCCAGTTTTGGTCGCCACGATGTAAAAAAGATGTGGAGACTCTAGAAAGAGTGCAGAGAAGAGCAACAAAGAGGATTAGGGGACTGGAGGCTAAAACATATGAAGAACGGTTGCAGAAACTGGGTATGTCTAGTTTGATGAAGAGAAGGACCAGGGGAGACATGATAGCAGGGTTCCAATATCTCAGGGGCTGCCACAAAGAAGAGGGAGTCAAGCTATTCTCCAAAGCACCTGAGGGTAGAACAAGAAGCAATGGGTGGAAACTAATCAAGGAGAGAAGCAACTTAGAACTAAGGAGAAATTTCCTGACAGAACAATTAATAAGTGGAACAACTTGCCTCCAGAAGTTGTGAATGCTCCAACACTGGAAGTTTTTAAGAAGACGTTGGATGACCATTTGTCTGAAGTGGTGTAGGGTTTCCTGCCTAAGCAGGGGGTTGGACTAGAAGACCTCCAAGGTCCCTTCCAACTCTGTTATTCTATTCTATTCTATTTTCCTATCAGAATTGTTGAAGAATTTAGTTAATTCTCATCCCCCTCAATCCATCATTCAAGATATTTTGATAGATTCCCCCCAAAAAATAAAAAATGGAGATAGAGCCCCAAAAAAACCCATAACATAAAACCCGTTAATATATAAAATCAAGTAAAATATACTACCAATTCCATCAGCTTTCTTCTACATCTTCTACAGAAGGGTTCCTGGCTTAGAAACCATAATACAAATCACTCAGGAGCTTCAGAAACAACTGGCCCAGATAAACCAGATGATAAATCCTTAGGTTGAATCTACTCTGGAGTAAATCAGATTCAGTTTTAATGCTGCAACAGTTCAACAATTGGCTTCCTCAGAATTGGCTGTTATGAGATGGTTAGTTTATATTCAGTTTATGCTTATATTTATACATTCCCCAGTGTATGTTTTTCATGGGTTAAATCAGTGTATCTCAACTATGGCAACTTTAAGATGTCTGAGTTTGTGAGAGTTGGGAGTGGAGACAGCTTAAAGTTGCCAAGGTTGAGAAATATTGGGTTATCTGTGATCCAATATTTTCCATATATTTTTGAAGCATTAGAAATAGATCTTGAAATAGGTCCCTGCATAAGTAACATGTCTCAAAACCACACAAGATTGCAATGGGGCCAGATAATACCTTTCAAGTTAAACAGTTACTGAAGAATGCCTAGCAATAAAGCTCAAAAGATGGAAAAGTAAACTCATCTGTAAGAACAGTTAATTGCCCTTTCAAAGCAACAATATTGCAAGATATCCTTGCTGACATAATTTGTTCAAAAACCTTGTAAATTCCATTCAACCGATATGATCGGATAATCCAATTTGCTTAATATCCAGGTAAATTTGTGTCCAATAGCCATTCCAAATCCATGTATTAATAAATAGGAATATTGATTGCTGAACCAGCTATAAAACATAATCGGGGTGTAATAAAAAAACTTATGCTCTTTCTCTTCCTACTTAAGGGGTCTGTTCTGAATTTCTAATCATTCAGGCTCAAGGTTGACTCAGCCTTCCATCCTTTCTAAGGTAGGTTAAATGAGGACCCAGTTTGTGGGGGCAATAAGCTGACTTTGTATTAAATATACAAAAGTATGAAGGCTATTGCTTAACACATTGTAAGCCGCCCTGAGTCTCCGGAGAAGGGCTGCATATAAATCAAATTAAAATAAAAAAAAAAATAAAAAAAAATAAAATGGGTTCTGAATTAAATAGAGAATTGCCCCAAGGAGGGGATACACCATAAATAATTACCCATGATTTAGGAGCTGGATAATTCGGAACAATCCAAAACATAAAAATTCGTAGAGAAGCCCAAATAAATTTAACCCCCCATTCCCGCCCCCCCAGGGAACCATATCAAAAACTTTGGAAACTTTCAGCATCCACAGAAATCAGGGGAAATCTTGTATATTTTCAGTTAAAGCAAGAACATCCATTTTTGTTCAAAGTTCGTTTGTTTGTATAAGTCTAGTCCAAGTAGGATCCATTATTCTTGGAAGAGGCCCTTGGAATCATTGGCTACAATTCAGGTGCCATGTTCATTCTTGGTTCGCTCAACCCAGTCTTTATTGACTAAGTTATAATTAGTTGGGATCTCACAACATACTGCATCAAAGCTGGTTTTCCATTCAGTATGAACTTATCCTCTGAGAAAATTATGCGTGGGAAGAAATGACAAGCCTTTCCTTCCTTCCTTCCTTCCTTCCTTCCTTCCTTCCTTCCTTCCTTCCTTCCTTCCTTCCTTCCTTCCTCCCTCCCTCCCTCCCTCCCTTCCTCCTTCCTTCCTTCCTTCCTTTTGCCAGCCAGCCAGTCAGCCATCAACCCCAATGTCTTATAGATATATTGGACTACAATTCCCATCATTAGTTGTCTTCCAATTTTCCTTCCTTCCTTCCTTCCTTCCTTCCTTCCTTCCTTCCTTCCTTCCTTCCTTCCTTCCTTCCTTCCTTTTCTTCCTCTCGCCAGCCAGCCAGCCAGCCAGCCATCCCAATGTCTTATAGATATATATTGGACTACAATTCCCATCATTAGCTGTCTTTCACTTTTCTTTCCTTCCTTCCTTCCTTCCTCCCTCCCTCCCCTCCCTCCTTCCTTCCTTCCTCATCCCCAATGTCTTCTAGGCATATTGGACTATGATTCCCATCATTAGCCCAATGCTGGAGAAGCCTTCCCCCTGCCCAGTGCATTCCAAAAGGGAGTGGGGCAAAGAATGGGAGCTCATGAAATTGAAATTCAACTCAAACTGAAATGTGATTAATTCTCCACGGGATGGCTTCCCCTTCGGTCACGCTAAAAGGGAGATTTCAGAGGGGCTGGATGCAAAGCCTTCCGTGAGGCTCTCTCAGTTGCTCCGGGGTTCTTGGCTAAGGAGGCTCCTTTTCTCCAACTGGCGGGTCTGTTGCCTTGTACTCGCCAGGGTGGTCTTTTCTGCTCCAGGGCCTCCCTCCAGCCCCCCCCATCCCGCCCCGCTGTTCCCACCCAGCAGTGGCAGTTCACCCTGTGCCCCTTTCCACTCTCGTTCCCTCCATTGTCTGGCCTGAATGCGCTTTTCAGGGCCGCTTCCCATTTCTTTTGTGTTCAGCCTTTGGGGCACCTCACCTCCCTCCCTCCTCTCTTGCTTTCTCCCCTCTGGCTCAGCAGCTGTCGCCAGCTGTGTGGGTCACTCCTGAAGCTGGGGATGGAGTTGCTGCAACACCTGCTCCACTACCCTTCCTCTCTCCTCTCTTATTCTTTCTTCCTTCCCTCCCTCTTTCTTTCTCTTTCCTCCCTCTTCTTCTTCCTCCCTTCCTCCCCTTCCCTCTTTTTTCTTTCTTCCCTCTTCTTTCTCCCTTCCTTCCTTTACTCCCTCTTTTTTCTTTTCTTTCTCTTCTTTCACCTTCTATCCCTCCCTCCCTCTTTCTTTCTCTTTTCTTCCTTCTTTTCCTCCTTCCTTCCTCTTTTTTTCTTTCTTCCCTCTTCTTTCTCCTTTCCTTCCTTTACTCCCTCTTTTTTCTTTTCTTTCTCTTCTTTCACCTTCTATCCCTCCCTCCCTCTTCTCTTTTCTTCCTTCCTTCCTTCCCTCCTTCTTTTTTCTTCCCTCCCTCTTCTTTCCCCTTCCTTCCTTCCCTCCCTCTCTCACTCCCTCTAGACTCTTTCAGAGTCCTCAAAATCAGCACAAGCATCAATTTTAATTTTTAATCAAATAAACATGGACCAATAGAATCCTTATAAACGAAAGCATTTTGGGAGGTTCTCTATAATGTTGAAAATGGAAAGAATCCTGAAAGGAAGGGGAAAAAATAGTTTAAGAAACAGTGCTGTAAATTAAAGGTGTGGGATCCTTGGTGCTCCCTGAGCCTCATTGTTTTCTTGCAGACGTTTCATTACCCAACGAGATAACATCCTCAGTGCTAAAGCTGGTTGAGATACCTTTTATAGCTCTTGCAGGGTGGGCTTCATCCAGCTGGTCCTCCAAGAAATGCAGAAGTTTCATGATAAGCTAACATGCTCTCTGGGAGTGAGTCTGTGGGCTTCCAGGGCAGGAGGCATTCCATCTATGGCAGGGGTCTCCAAAGTTGGCCACTTTAAGACTTGTGGACTTCAACTCCCAGAATTCCCCAGCCAGCCATGCTGGCTGGGGAATTCTGGGAGTTGAAGTCCACAAGTCTTAAAAGTGGCCAACTTTGGAGACCTCTGGTCTATGGCCCCTCTAAACTTCGCTGTGTCTCTCCTTCTCTCGTTGACCCTCCGTGAGCAGCTGCCAAGCGGGCAGTGTGGTTGGAGAAGGAAGAGAAGGCCCGCATGTTAAGGGAAAAAACAGCTGGAAGAGAGGCGGAGGCGGCTCGAAGAGCAGCGAGTGCGAGCTGAGAAGCGGCGAGCCGCCCTGGAAGAACGCCAGCGCCAAAAGATGGAGAGGAACAAGGTCAGTTGGAGGTTGTTTGGGGGAGTCATAGAGGAATTAAACATGTTTCAACTTTAAAAATCACATTTTCGCTCATCACAGCGTTTCAGTATCGATATCCCTTATATTAACGTAATTTCTAATTACAGGGGTTACTATTCCTATGTAATTATAGTTTTCTATTTTTAAATTATACTAATAATTATAAGTATATACAATATTTTCTCCTTTTAATATACATATATGATATATTCCTTACATAGCAGCTGTCCCTCTTTCTATTGAGAAATTGTCGTCTTAAACTTTACCTAAACACCTTAGTCTTATTTTCAATATCCAAATGCCATAATAAATTCATTTTTTCTTCTTTCAGCAGAAAGTCCGTACACAGGTAGCCCTTGACTTACAACTCTTCATTTAGGGACTGTTTGGAGTTACAACAGAGCTGAAAAAAGTGACTTAAAACTGGTCATCACACTTACAGCTCTTGCAAGCGTCCCTTTGATCACTTGATCAAAGTACTTGGCAACCAAAACGTATTTATGACGGTTGCAGCATCTTGAGCAGTGGTGAAATCCAAATTTTTTAAACTACCAGTCCTGTAGGCGTGGCTTGGTGGGCGTGGCAGAAGGATATTACAAAATCTCCATTCCCTCCCCACTCCTGGGGGAAGGATATTGCAAAATCTCCATTCCCTCCCCACTGCTGCGGGAAAGATATTGCAAAATCTCCATTCCTTCCCTACTGCTGCGGGGGAAAGAAATATTGCAAAATCACCATTCCTTCCCCACTCCTGGGGGAAGGATATTGCAAAATCACCATTCCCTCCCCACTCCTCGGGGAAGGATATTGCGAAATCACCATTCCTTCCCCACTCCTCGGGGAAGGATACTGCAAAAATCACCATTCCCTCCCCACTCCTGGGGGAAGGATACTGCAAAATCCCCATTCCCTCCCCACTCCTGCGGGGAAGGATATTGCAAAATCACCATTCCCTCCCCACTCCTGGGGGAAGGATACTGCAAAATCCCCATTCCCTCCCCACTCCTGCGGGAAGGATATTGCAAAATCTCCATTCCCTCCCCACTCCTGGGGGAAGGATATTGCGAAATCACCATTCCCTCCCCACTCCTGGGGGAAGGATATTGCAAAATCACCATTCCTTCCCCACTCCTGCGGGAAGGATATTGCAAAATCACCATTCCCACCCCACTCTGGGGCCAGCCAGAAGTGGAATTTGCCGGTTCTCCAAACTACTCAAAATTTCCGCTACCGGTTCTCCAGAACCTGCTGGATTTCACCCCTGATCTTGAGATCGTGCGATTGCCCTTCCAAGCCGGTTTCCAATCAGCAAAGTCAATGGGGAAGCTGCAATCATTTAACAAGTACAGCAAAAAAAAAAAAAAGTAAATTCGGGCAAGACTCATTTAACAAGCAACTTGTTTAGGGATCAAAATTCTATGGTAGTCCCAATGTTGGCTGTAAGTCAAAGGACGACCTGTAAGGATTTCCAGTTTGGTAAAAAAAAAACAGTCTTTTTATCATTTTTTCTCCATCTAACCCAGTGTTTCTCAACCTTGGAAGCTTGAAGATGGGTGGACTTCAACTCCTAGAATCCCCCAGCCAGCGCTGCTGGCTGGGGGATTCTGGGAGTTGAAGTCCACCCATCTTCAAGCTACCAAGGTTGAGAAACACTGCTCAGCTTCATTGTTTATGCAAATAAAAATACAGAATGAAACCTCCCCTTTCCCCCCTTTGTGATCAGGAGCTCTACGAAGCTGCCATCCAGCGCTCCGTGAAGAAAACCTGGGCTGAAATCCGGCAGCAGCGATGGTCGTGGGCTGGGGCGCTGCACCAGGGCTCCCCTGTGCACAAAGAGGGTGAGTGGAGGCCCTGCTTAGCTTGGGGACATATTCCTTCGGGGAACAGCAAGCACACCAGGCCTGGTGCGGAGGGGAGGTTTGATGCCTTTTGCACGGCTGGGCACTTTTGCACGCGCATGTCCTTGGGACGAGGAGGGGCTTCTGCACCTTAGTTTATAGTTTGAAATTATAAGGCCATTCCTCCCTCCCTCCCTCTGTCCCTTTCCCACTCTTCCTATCTTCTTTCTTTCTTTCTTTCTTTCTTTCTTTCTTTCTTTTCTTTCTTTCTTCTTCTTTCTTTCTTTCTCTTTCTCTTTCTTTTCTTTCCTTCCTTCTTCCTTCCCTCCCCATCTTCCGTCCCTTTCCCACTCTTCCTATTTTCCTTCCTTCCATCCATCCTTTCTTCCTTCCCTCCCTCCCTTTTCCACTCTTCCTATTTTTCTTTCTTTCTTCTCTTTCTTTCCTTCCTTCCTTCCTTCCCTCCCTCCCTCCCTTCTTCCGTCCCTTTCCCACTCTTCCTATTTTCCTTCCTTCCTTCCGTTCATCCTTTCTTCCTTCCCTCCCTCCCTTTTCCACTCTTCCTATTTTCTTTCTTTCTTTCTTTCTTTCTTCTTTCTTTCTTTCTTTCTTTCTTTCTTTTCTTTCTTTCTTTCTTTCTTTCTTTCTTTCTTTCTTTCTTTCCTCTGCATACAGGACAGCACTGCATTTCTTTGCAGCTTTGCTGGGGGCCCGTTGTCCATTTTCAGTGGACTTTTCACCGCTTGGTACCTTTCCACTCTTCCTATTTTCCTTCCTTCCTTCCCTCCTTCCTTTCCTTCCTTCCTTCCCTCCCCCCTCCCTCCCTCCCTTTTCACGCTTCCTATTTTTCTTTCTTTCTTTTTCTTTCTTTCTTTCTTTCTTTCTTTCTTTCTTTCTTTCTTTCTTTCTTTCTTTCTTTCTTTCCTCTGCATACAGGACAGCACTGCATTTCTTTGCAGCTTCGCTGGGGGCCTGTTGTCCATTTTCAGTGGACTTTTCACCGCTTGGTACCTTTAAATTCCCCCATTGCTTCTTCTCTTCTATGCCATGTGCTGCTCAGAGCCTCACCCATCTTCCTCCTCATTGGTTGGCAGTTTCCACCATGCGGCCACATTGGGACCGAGGCAGAAAGGAGCTGAGCCATAGATACAGCTTGCCCGAGACTGCACTGCTGAGCAGAGCATATTCTGTCCTTGGCCACCTTCCCATCCCCAAGAGACTTTGGGCAGGAATGGACTGGAGGGTGGGAAACTGAAGGATGGGCACGTACGAATGCTGCAAGGCATGATGATACCAAGTGGAGCTAGCCACGTGTGTGTGAGGAGGGCCAGGCTTTCCTGTTTTGGTGGGGTTAGGAAACGTTTTGGGGAGTGATCCTGGGGACTAGCATCATCTCAGCAATAAGATGTGTGTACTTCAACTCCCAGAATTCCCCAAGGCAGCACACAGTGGAGGGGGTTATACGATCACAAGCTCCCATGATTGGAGAAAGAAAGGAGCCTGGATAGCTCTGCAGACTAAGCACTGTAATTTAACACCAGCTGTCTGCAATTACTGCAAGTTCGAATCTCACCAGGCTCAAGGTTGACTCAGCCTTCCATCCTTTCTAAGGTAGGTAAATTGAGGACCCAGTTTGTGGGGGCAATAAGCTGACTTTGTATAAATATACAAAAAGGATGAAGGCTGTTGCTTAACGCATTATAAGCCGCCCTGAGTCTCTGGAGAAGGGCGGCATATAAATCAAATTTAAAAAAAAAGTGTGTTATGCAGAATGACAAAGTAGAAACTTTCTGGAAGAGCTTCAAAAAAAACCAAGTAGTCCTTGACTTATGACCAATCTGGAAAAAGGGGATTTAAAACCTGGATCCAAAGTTCTGACAGTCACCCACCCAGCCATCCACTCCATAGTCATGTGTCCAAGCGTTTTAGTTGCTTGGTCGCATGGCTGCATTTACAGCCATTTGTAGCATCCCGTGATCCCCTGACCCCATTCCATGACAGGTTTTCCTGAAAACCAGCACTTCCCGTTTTCAGCAAAACAATGTCTCTAGTGAATCATTGGTTCACTGAACGACAGCGATGGCCACAAAAGAGGTCTTATTTTATAGGCAAGCTTCATTACAATCATATCTCAAATTAAATCAAATAAATATATAAATATAAATCAAATTAATAATAAAAAAAAAATATCTCAAGGGCTACCTTTAAAAGAACAGGCGTAACTGATTCAGTAGCAACTTCCTGGTTGCCTGTGGTGATTAATAATTCTCCATAAGCAACTGGGCTATTATTATTTACCATTCTGCTGTGCTCTTCTTTAACTACCTGAACTGATTGGAAATTGCTGCTGATCAGGATAAAAACAAGCATTTCAGATGTTCACAACACTTCATGTATACAGTACTTTCAAAATCTTTATGAGGAAGATCTCTTGGCCAATGTATGGATATTTGGAAGCTACATCTTGTTGGGATGTGAATGGTGAACTTGGTGGATTTTTGATCTCATCTTCGTTTAGGTTGTTAAGCAAAGCAGTTGTTAAGTGAAACATCATAGTTTTGTAATCTTAAACTTCTTACAAAGTTGTTTTCTCTGCTTTACAGACCTGCCAAAGGTCATAAATACAACAATTAGCCACTAAGTTATTTTTTCATCATGTTGTAACTGCAAATTGTTGTTAAACAAGGCAGCTGCAAAATGAGGACTACCTGCAGGGCTCTTTCAGAGACACTTTTCAGAGCGGTTCATTAATAAATAAATAATGTTGAACAATATTTTGTCTTTGCTGAATTCTCCAAAATAGTTCAGGTCATTGCATGAAATTGCTCTCCTTAACTAGTCTGGCCTCACCAAATAAGTTAAATACTATTCAGTGGCTGGATTTTATTTATTGCGAAATAGAAATAGGATATATAACATTCAAATAATTATCTGCAATTAATCTGTTTTTTTGGCAGAGACAAATCCTGTGAGTCTATTATTACAAGTCTTCCATCAATATTGGCAGCTCTGACTCTAAATTAGTTTTGGGTTTAGGAATTTTGTTTTGGTTTTAGGCAAAACTGGGCATGTTGTTCCATGTGGTTTTTGGCAACAAGAATTTGACAGCAGCTCTTATTTTTCAGCCTAGAATACATATAGAGACCATGCAGAATGCTACCAGTGACCCAATGTGCAGAAAAATTGTCCAAATCATTATTTTATGTTTATATTGCCATATGAAACAAAGAAAAGCAAGTTCCAGAGGCATACTTTGGTTGGGTTTGTTCACAAAACACAATCAGGTGATGGAGTCATTTTATTCTCTGAATCAGAAACTAATTCCCCAAAGCTGGATTCACAGAACACATAAAGTCACAAAAAAGCCCTAACAGGTTTAAAACTAACTAGGCTTCTCATGTTGTGCAAATGACTGATCTAGTTAAGTCTGTAACCATCAAGTTAGGCCTGTTAGAGAAGCACAACCACTTTTTACTATGGAAATTTTAAGAGTGATGATTTTAAATGATTTTTAAAAAAATCATTTACTTGGTCAATTTTTCAAAACGTTGGCTTGCAAATAGCACTGAGGATAAACTAACCCCCTCGCTTATTTGTTGTGGCCCTGGAATAAAAAGCCAGGGTTTGTTTCAAATCTGATTGTGTCCTATAAATGAACACTCAAAATGCTTTCAGTTTTGTCCTTTCGAAACTCACCGCGCCCTAACGTTGGTCTGAAAAAGCTGCTTTGCTATCAATCCAAGCTGTTTGTGGTTCAGCTTCTGTCTCTAAAAAGGGACCTGTTTGCTGGATGGTTGAGTCTACGTCTTGCTCATCGTTTGGCCATGGCAGTGTAAACATGCTGTTAAGTGTGCCCAGGAACCTGATATTTAACATCTTCTGTGAAGGCTGTCATCTGTTGCATGCTTTCTGTGGGACTCAGCCTTTCTCAGCTGGATGGGACCTGAGTCAAAGTCAGCTTGTAACAAGAAGGAGCTGTAAATAATGCCTTCACCTCCTACTGTTGTTTGGCTGCAGAAAGGAAAGGAATAAAAAACCCCAAAACCTCCAAATCAGACCTTCTGCCAGTGGGCCTCTGGGAGGAGCATAGCCTTGCCAAGAGCCACTGTGCCATCACATGTGCTAATTTGCTTTCTGCCAAGCTCGCTTAGGCCTCTGACGTGTGCTGGAGTAGAAATACACGAGGCTGCGAATCAGCACATTAAAAGGTGCTGGTATGATTTCCTGTTCCTGCAGGCAGCCCGAATCGAGGCACCCTAATGGCTTTCCCAGGGATCTCCTTTGCAACTCATTGCATTCACTGCATGATCCCCGCTGCTGCATGCTCGCACGTCCACCAGATCCCCACCCCACACCGCTGCCCTTAACACCTGTGTGTCTTTTCCCTCTGTAGGTGCAAGCAGGTGCTCTCTCTCTGCTGTAAATCTCCCCAAACATGTGGACTCTATAATCAACAAGCGCCTCTCCAAATCTTCTGCCACTCTCTGGAACTCACCCAGTAGAAGTAAGAGACCCCCTGGGGGACACGCAGCTGTGGATGGGAAGAAGGGGGCCCCAATTTTAAACCCATCCTATCAATAGTCCTGGAACTAGATGAAGGGGTAAATTAATTAGAGAAGAAAGAAAATAAAAGAGAAAGAAAGAAAGAAAGAGAAAGAAAGAGAAAGAAAGAAAGAAAGAGAGAGAGAGAGAGAGAGAGAGAGAGAGAGAGAGAGAGAAAGTTAAAGAAAGAGAGTCTTCTTCACCCCGAGTCTTCGGAGAGGGGCAGCATATAAATTGAATTAATTAAATTAAATTAAATTAAAGAAAGAAAGAAAGAAAGAAAGGAAGGAAGAAAAAGAAGAGAGAAAGAAAGAGAGAGAGAGAGAGAAAGAGAGAGAGAGAAAAAGAAAGAAAGGAAGGAAGGAAGGAAAGAAAGAGAGAAAAAGAGAGAAGAAAAAAAAAGAGAGAGACTTTCTAATATATGTGTTAGACCATCGGGGCCCGCAGGCGGATGTGTCACACGTTGGCCATGCCCACCTCCGGTTTAGCGAAGGGGGAAAAAAGTTGCGATACATCACGTGACGATGCGTGTTTGACACTCCTGTGTTAGACCAATGGTTTTGAATCTCGGCGTGATGAAGATGTGTGGACTTCAACTCCTAGAATTCCCTAGCCAGTCATAGTGCCTGGAGAATTCTGGGAATTGAAGTCATCACCTCAAGTTGCTGAGATTGAGAGACACTGTTTTAGACAAGCATGTAAGCGCAGGGTGGAGTGTCCAGCATTTTTAAAAGATCCTAGGTCTTAACGGTCCTAGGTCTTAACGGTTACCAAAAGAAGCATGAACCTAGCAAATAAGAGCAATGTTTCTCAACCTTAGCCATTTTAACACATGTGCATTTCAACTCCCAGAGTTGCGGGCAAGGAGATGTGGGGAGTTGAAGTCTACACATCTTAAAAGTTGCCAAGGTTGAGACAGCCTACAAAACAGGATGAAATTTTTACCAGACGGAAGACGGGGCTCAGTAGAATTTTAAGAGATTGTGGGGGGCAGAACATCCTTGCATCTCTCCCAATGGCCAAAGGATCAAGTCCATGCAGCTTTTCAGTCACGCAATTAACGTTTCTGTTCACCTTCCCTGTTTATCTTGTATATTGCTTGAGGTAGACTTTGGGATTTAAATGTTAGCTGAATAACCCATAGGAGTTGCAGCAGATTAATGTAGGGAATTGCATGCCCCAACCCCTCAAAAAAAATCTGCTTATTTTTGTCTCCTAGATTTTTGAGTAATCTGTAACTATATGAGAGTAGACACTTTAGAACAGTGTTTCTCAACCTTGGAAGCTTGAAGATGGGTGGACTTCAACTCCCAGAATCCCCCAGCCAGCGTTGCTGGCTGGGGGATTCTGGGAATTGAAGTCCACCCATCTTCAAGCTACCAAGGTTGAGAAACACTGCTTTAGAAGAAACAATTCTCACTTCCTCCTTCCTTTTGCCTCAAATTAGGGGATCACGCTTCTCATCTGTAGTGCCTACAAGTTATTATCTAAAGGGGAAAACTGCTTCTCAAGATGAATTGAGAATTATTGGCCTGTTCTTTTTCACCGAACAGCATTGCTGTCTGATCCAGTGGGTTGCTACCGGTAACGGCGATGGCGGGAGGCAGAAGCATCGTGCACGCGCATGAGCACGCATGTGCCCACGAGCAAACCGGTAGCGACCTGAATTGAAACCCACTACTGGTCTGATCCAGAGGTTTCAGCAGGTTCTGACCAGTTCTGGAGAATCGGTAGTGGAAATTTTGAGTAGTTCGGAGAACTGGTAGTGGAATTTTGAGTAGTTCAGAGAACCGGTAGCGGAAATTTTGAGTAGTTCGGAGAACCGGCAAATGCCACCTCTGACTTGCCCCGCCCCCATCTATTCTCTGCCTCCCGAGTCCCAGCTGATCAACAGGAAATGGGGATTCTGTAGTAACTTCCCATTAGAGTGGGGTGGGAATGGAGATTTTACAGTATCCTTCCCCTGCCATGCCCACCAAGCCATGCCACGCCCACTAAGTCACACTCACAGAACCGGTAGTAAAAAATTTTGGAACCCACCATTGGTTTGATCCCAGGAGCAGTTAAAGGCCTCAAATAATTTGTGATCCAGCTCAAGCATTAAATTATCTTGATTCCTCTGGCCATAGTTTGGAGAAGAAAGCGTGATAGGCTGGGTTTATGCATCACATTAAGCCAGATATTGTAGTTTCTCAGCCAGAGCAGCCAGTTCACAGTATCTGTTGAGTCCCGGCAGAACTCAGATATCGTGGTATATTTAGGAAGTCACAATCGAACAAGGATTGACCAAACAGAAAATGTGAGCCCAGCAGGCCACGCCGGAGACCAGAGGTGGCTGCTCAGTTGCTCAAATCTCTGTGTAAATCTGCACGCAGAGTATTAAAGCACAAGGATTTGGCACAATGAGAATGCTGAACAAAACTCCACATTGGTGACAGGAAAGGCATCCGGCCAGTAAACCCTCAGCTCCATTCATTTGCCTAGACTCCACCCCGCAAGGGATTATGGGATCATTAAAAGATGATGATGACAGGTAGTCCTTGACTTAACAGCTGCAATTGAGCCACAAATTACGGTCGTACGTTTTGCTTAATTTGCAAATTGTTAAGCAGGTGATTATGCAATTGACCCAATTTAACAACTTTTTTTTACGGCGGACAGTAAGTGAACTTAATGGTAGTTGTAAAGTGAATACCACAGTGGTTAAGTGAATAACACGATCATAAAGCACAAGTGTTGTCTGAAATAGGCATTTTTTTCCGGGAACTGGCTCAGTGGCTAAGACATTGAGCTTGTCGATTGAAAGGTCGGCAATTCAGCGGTTCGAATCCCTAGTGCCGCGTAATGGGGTGAGCTCCCGTTCCTTGTCCCAGCTTCTGCCAACCTAGCAGTTCGAAAGCCCGTAAAAAATGCAAGTAGAAAAACAGGGACCACCTTTGGTGGGAAGGTAACAGCGTTCCGTGCGCCTTTGGCGTTTAGTCATGCCGGCCACATGACCACGGAGACGTCTTCGGACAGCGCTGGCTCTTTGGCTTTGAAACGGAGATGAGCACCGCCCCCTAGAGTCAGGAATGACCAGCACATATGTGCGAGGGGAACCTTTTACCTTTACCTTTAACTATCCGTTGAAGTCTGTACCTGTCCTGTTTGGTTGCTATGTCAAACCAGACAGTTACAGAAATACAAATGAGACTCATTAATTCCACAGAAAGCTAAAATGGTTGATATCCTTACTAGTTTTGGGCACAGCAGCCTCATCATTTCAATGTCTTTGGCAATCTCTCTACTGCAGTTCTACTATCCAGCATCTTCAGCTGTTTGGGGGGGGAGGGAGGGCAGGGAAGGAAATCACTTTTGCATTGAGGGAGAGTGTTTGGAATGCTTAAAATGCTTTACATCAGAGTTACAAGCAACAAGCAGATATTATTTCTCCCTCACTTCGTCCATTGGGTCACATTGGGGTGCAGCTGACAAATGTGAATCCCTGCTCAGTACCTCAACCATTATTAATTTATTTGCTTGCTTGTTTATTTATACAGCAGTTAAGCACTTATATACTTCTTCACTGTGTTTTACAGTCTTCTCTGGGCAGTTTACAATTTCAGCATATTGCCCCGAACAATCTGACTCCTCATTTTACTGATTTTGGAAGGATAAAAGGCTGAGCCAGCCAGGATCGAACTCCTGACAGTGAGCAGAGTTAGTCTGCAGTACTGCATTCTAACTACTGCCCCACCACGGCTCATATCCTGCCTTTATTATTTTTATAACTAACTCAAGGAGTTAAATATATACAATACTTCTTCTTCCTTCTATTTTCCCCACAATAACCACCTTGGGAAATGAGTTGGTCTGAGAGATAATGACTGACCTAAACCGGTGGTTTAGTGGCTAAGACACTGAGCTTGTCGATTAGACAGGTTGGCATTTTGGCGGTTCGAATCCCTAGTACAGGTCTTCTGCATGAGCAGGGGTTTGGACTAGATGACCTCCAAGGTCCCTTCCGACTCTTGTTACTGTTAAAAAGTCACTCATCTGACGTTCATGCCTAAGGCGCTACTAGAACTCACAGCCTGCTGGCTTCTAGCCTGCTGCCTTAACCAGTAGACCAAACTTGTCTAATTAGTCCCAAACCATTTGCAATGACCTTTCTCCTCCTAACTGTATGTTTCTGGAGCAGCTCTTTGCAATGGGTCTCAGCTGAAACTCTAAACGCACCATGAAATAGTAAGGTGGAACTTCCCCAAACTATAAACTGTGTGGGATATTAATAAATCAAATTTACTTTGACCCCTGCAGTGATGGTGATGTCTAGCCCGGATACTACAAAATAGAAGAACACCATCTAATGTCCTCCAGATGTTTTGTGCGACAGTTCCCAGATGTTCAACCTGAAAAGCATCTTGACCCTCCTGTGGAGTTATCTCTCCATTGAGGGGAAATTTTACCCACTTGGCCCCAGCAAGCAGATCCTACACTGCTGCGTTCCACAGGCTCCAATTACTCTCTGCCCTAATGCCTCTTTTGCTGCTAAAGATAGTATTTCTGCCCGCCATTGTTTTTGTTTCCTCGTTGCTTAGGGATGATGAAAAAAATATCCTGAGCATCTGAACAAGATTCAGGAAAAGGCCAACGGAAGGGATGGTTAATGCATGTGGAATTAGGTGCGGTCCTGGGGTGAAATTATTCAGACAGCAGTGTGCTCATAGGTATGTGTGGATGCCAAGAGAAAGATTTCGACTTTTTCTTTAAAAAAAAAAAATGGCCTTTTTAGGTAAAAAAAAACCACAAATCCGTAATCACACAATTAGTGGATAGGAAGGTATTTACAAGCAGTGACCAAGCCAAATTAAGCAAGCCTATGAATCTAAAAGTATATTTGCATTTATTTATTTATCAATTTATATAGCTACTGACCTCACATCTGTAATACTGGGTAGCTTTCAATTCCAACAGGAGCAG